ATTATTTAAAATTAAATAGAGTTGTTATAATTGTTTAATTAATAAATTATTGTAATTTACATTTAATAATGTCAGAATTGTTGACATGTAGTAGCCGAAACTAGTCCTAGCATAGAAAAGAGAAAGCATTTGCAGACTAAATTGGTAGTTCGAGTACTCAGCGCAATAGTGTTTAGATATTGGCACATAGCTGTTACCAAATTTCCCAATCGGTAGATTTACAAAGATTTATTTTACAGGTTCACGATAAAGGTCTTTTTTTGGAGAGTGTACCCTGAGTTGGTATGGGCGGTGGTATTTGTATAACAGGTAACGCACCGGCTAACTGTGGATTCGTGTAAGCAACTGCACGTTCCTTCTTAGCAAAGGAGGAAAATGGCCTTAGACGTACATATAGTATGGCAGATATCATGCAAGATGTGAGCAAAATACCCAGCAAAACAATTAGTGTAATTGCGAAACCTGGTGTTGTCATACATATAAGGCCATCTTCTCTTGCCGGAAAGACCATAGTTTGTGGGGCAATTGTGGCAGTATTGTTCGCATTTTCGTCAATAGCAAAAGTAAGATCACCCGAGGAAACTACTTTAATAATACGATTCAATCCAACTTCTTGTTCAGGATCTACGGCACGTGCACGACGCTGTACGCGACGTTCATCACGTCGTTTTGTTATCGCACTGCCAACATGATAGGCATCAACATGCAACTGTGGTGGTGGTGGACCATATTGCGATTCTGGTCCTACTTGTAAATGATGTACTTCCTGTAAATTAGGATCAGAACACTGGTCAGGGCATTGATAGCGACAAATTTGTATAGTACATTGGAAGTGCACTTCCATAGAGTCGGGGAATTTAAATGCTTGAAAGTGCGCATACGAAAGTACGGATGCTGAAGCGCCAAAGTTCTTTATTTTTGTAAATCGTGACATTAATTTTGGTCGAGTAACACAGCCACGTTGATCAACGAGTTGAATCGGTGCACGTTTACCATCATGTGCTACACAATTTCTCACTAACATATCAAACTTGGAGTCATCATCTTTAATAGCTAAGACCATTGTCATAGTTTGACCAATTTTAACTAAACCAGATACTTCCGAAGCCCAAGGTCCTTTGCCCACCTGTATTTGCATCCAGCAACCTACATTATCACCAGCAAAATCGGCGCGTACAACATCAAGCATATCAACTGGGAACGGACGGAATGTTACGCTCTTCTCATATTGATCATGCCAAGTGCAACGTAGTTTGCGTGCTTGATCCCAAACTTCTTGTACTTGTGGATCATATTGTATAACGATTATGTTTTCGAAATAGGTACCCGAGCCAGAATCGTGACCATAGCCATAAAGACCATTTTCGGTGTTGCCAGCAGTGCCACACTCATGCAAACCAATATCGAATGTAGCTTGTGTACGTCCCAAACCGGATGGTAAGTGCACACAGTTCATATTACTATAATGACCCTTCGAGAAGACAATGCCATAGAATGGTTTGTCGAATTGCACAAATACTTTCATTCCATTCTTCTCACACTTAACATCTAACGAAATTATTTTTGGCATATCTTGTACTGGTGAAGACCATACTTCATTTGTATTTGAAGCGCCAACGCTTAAGTCTGGCAATACTTGTGGTGCATGTATTTGTGGTCCTCGTTGTGGTGGCAGTGGCGGTGGTGGACCCTGATAAGCTAATTGTGATGGCGGCGGTGGTGGACCGAAGGGTTGACCCAAACTCATTGATATACTTTGATGATTACCTATAAGTAAATATAAGAAAGTTTTACATACAATCAAGAAAACGATTGGAATTATATGAATAGATATCATTGCTTGATTAGAATATGTTTAATTAATTTTTGTTAAAAAACAAAACAGCTTTGTTTTTACAATAATTAGCTTACTTCTTGCTGGTCCTGGCTGTTGTTGTTGAATGTTATGCTGGTATAATACTTTCGTTGGTGACTGTGGTTCTTGTTCTGATTCCAATGCTACTTGATCGACTTCATTCTCATGATCGGATATTTCATCTTTATTGGGCTTCACCACTTCTACTTCATCAGCTAATGCAATCTGGAAATAATAAAAGATATTTAGCTTTAGAAATTCTATATTTTTATGAAAATATAAATAGAAATATGAAATATAACAATATGAATTATGGCAATAGTCTCAATTAAATTTAAATTTTTTTCCTACTCATTGCTTTACACTTTATGATCTATCATGCATAAAGCAGAACATAATGAATGTCCTAATATATATCTGTACTATGTACTCTGTATATATCAAACTCAGTATATTCAGTTTAGTTCCTACTTTATGTAAAATCGAATATAAAGCACTCCGTAATTAGATTTAGAAGTCTGTATGAATTTAAATAGTTAATGGAGCAGAGATCCGCAATCTTTTTTGATTTTTTTATAACAACCAAATGGATTTTCTTTTGAAAATAAAAACCATAATATTCCTCATTGAAGAGTTCTTCACATTAAGTGAAAATAAGAGTTCCCCCAGCAGTATTGTCCTCCTGGTTCAGTTTAAAGCCTGATAGTTATAAGCAACTGCCTAGTAGTGTCATTTACTTGTAGAGGAGATATTCTGTCAACTCGGACATAAGTTGTTAAGATGGTAGCGCAGATTAAGATGAACTGTTAAGTTATTGAGTATCTAGTATTTCAATGAGGCTCAGAATATTTCTTTTTGAGGAACTTTAATATCAGGCGGAAATAGCTGCGGCAGCAACAAAACCGTTCTGTTGGCCCAGATCAAATTCTTTTTCAATTTCTTTATACAGGTAAACGATACTTATTAGTAACGAAATATAAATTAAGCAACAATGTGGATGTTGACGGTGGTGTTACAACGGACCATTATTTATACTTAACGGAGCTTTCATGTAGAAGCCTACTGCTTCAACTTAGTCAAACATAAAGAGCAACTGTAAAATATCACCTTATAAGCATTAGTATTAACAGTAACATGAATACTAATATTACTGGTAGTCATCCATGCGGATAATGGGGACTTGCGTCAACCCACCGGAGGTGTGTATCTGGTACAGAGAAGATCAGTTCTCGTAGCTTTTGCTGACCTGACCAATTGAATTTAGCAATGGCTGTGGGTAACCTCCAAAGCTACGCGTGAAAAATGATTACATATATTTACTTGAGTTGCGTTTTCATATCGGGTACTGTGGCCCACAGATCAAGAATGGTCGAATGACCTTGCTCCTTTCCAAGAGGGAAGTTATGCTTAACACATAACTTTAAGAAAGAATTCCTTGGAATTTAAATGGGGTATCTATTGTCGCAATCTCTTGATATGTGTGTTTAGAACACAGTGGTGTTGAGCCAACAAGGCAGGTTGGCTCTAAAAACTGAGGACATCTCTTACTGGTGGTATCTGCATTAAGTTTCCTCTTTAGTTAAAACTTTTTATATTCATTTAAGAAACAAAAAACAAGATAGTTTTTCCTATAATAGATAATATCCGGATGTAGGCGATATCTAAACTTCTATTATGTTACATAATAATAAACGGAATTCTGAGATAGACAATGAAAGCCACAGACAAATGTGCTAGTTTCGCTTTTGTGATTGTAAAAATTCAGTCATTATTAAACGTGTTCTCCTTGCATGTCAGCTTTTAGTTCCTTCTTAGCAATTGAGTTCAAGGCTAATATAATCGTAAATAAAATAGCAATTGGCCAATATCGTAGAAGTGGCACGGCACATTCAAGAAAAGATTCAAGAAAAAATAAAGATATAACTCAGTTTCATTCACAATAAAAAATTTCGCATTTTCATTTCTTACTTTATTGGCGACAATTTATCTTAAACTGAGTTGACAACTTTGCTGGCTATTGGTGACGAGCAGCAATCAGCAATAAGCAATCTATCAAGCTGCAGTAGACATATCAAAATGCCAGTCGAGCCGGAGACTGCCTGATGAGGTAGTGTAGCAATGGCAATGAAAACGCGTTCATGTTGGCGTAGAGAAATGCGTAGATTTGCGATATACATAGATACAATGGACTGTATTAGTTTGGTTGGACAAAAAAAGGTTGATACATAAATCTTTCAAGATTGCTACGTTGCTGTAGGTTATAATTAATATGCTTTTTATGAGCTCTGCACTGCACATACTATATTGCAGAATTAAGTAGTGAAAATCTTGAAGGAATTTTTATGTTACCATTTGTGTATTTGGCTCGCAACTCTGATTTCTTTCGCCAATTGTAGATGTCACAACAGACGGAACTGCAAACTTGCGTGCTGAAAAAGGTAATTTAATAAAACCGCATACAAAAGTATGACAATTTCATTTTAGTTTTTATTTATGATATTTTTTTTTCACTTTATTTTATACTATTTTTTTTTTTTTTGTTAACTTATGTGAATACCAATTGGTTAAGATAAAAATATCTATCGTTCGTGCGTGTGTATGTCGCTGCGTACGTACTGCATTATGAAGCAGCATAATTTATTACAAATTAAACAGATTTTCAGATTTTCAGATGGTCATTCTCACTTTAGACGGTTACAGCAAATATGTAGCACTTCATCCATTAGCATAAGCACATGCGGCACAGTGGACATATGCGCAGACAAGATCACTTCTCTGAAATCAGTGAAACATATATGCATAAAGACAACTTTCTCTCCCGACAACATAATCGACGAAATCCAGTAATAGCGAAAATGTGAGATTCAGTAAAAATTAAAATACTTATTTTCTCCTAAATTTAATATATAAAAAGGAAATATGCATTAAACTACTTATAAGACAGCAACAAATATTACAAATAATGTATATCCTTTAACAAAAAAAAAATAAAATACAATAAAATAAAATAAAATTCAAAAAATAAAAAATTTAAGAAATTTCCG